AGGTACCCTTTTAGAACTTGGTAGGTAGACATGGGAGGGATCCAGAAACCCTCCCAGAATTTTCCTCCTGGTCATGGTCCAGGTATTAGTGCCTCCAAAGACCACCTGGAACACACCTGTAGCCAAAAATTTGGCAGCAAAGTTGGATGACATTGAGCCCTTCCACGGTCCTAGTGGATGTCCAGGTAAGATGACATTGAGCCGTGCCGGGGCCCTAGTGGATGTCCAGATAAGGTGGAGACATGTCCAACATGCATCTAATTTAGGAAAATGCTACCATATGTACACAGGGAAAGACAGAGATAGAGGGAGCGAATAAATAGTGGGGATCATTCCATCCAAGAGCCCCTTCAATGACCCTTTGCCCTGGAGTGTGAGTCCAGTAGGAAACCATCCTCTCAGTTCCCATGGCCCTTCCACAAAAGGACACAGCATGGCCGACTCAATGTGAGTCTAATGTCTAATGGCAGACATTCTTCATCTAGTGTCTGTCCTAAATGCAAGCCAATGACTTCATCAGAAGAAGCAATGATTCCAGAAGGAAAACAGACCATATTGGACTTGCAGGGATACACTGTGTAGTCTTCATGTGACTCCTTCTAAGGGAACGTCGAAGGCATTTTTGTCTTCCTACCATGTTTACCTAGTAGCATTGCATGAGTTGGATTTTTTGCTCAGTTGCTTTCGCAGAAAACGAGTTAACGGTGGCTTCAAAACCACAGAAGCCCTCATTCTCATTCATGTAAACACCTGTGCTTGTCTCATTCATGTAAACACCTGTGATCCTGGTGTCTGTGTGCCACAAAGTCATCCTGAGACCAGATTTCTCCTATCTCATTGCTCTGTATCCCTCAAGTCCTCCGATCCATGCAGCTTTTTTAAAAAAAAAATTTAACGTTTATTTATTTTTGAGAGACAGACAGAGACAGATCATGAGAGGGGGGAGGGCAGAGAGAAAGGGAGACACAGATTCTGAGGTAGGCTCCAGGCTCTGAGCTGTCAGCACAGCGCCTGATGCAGGGCTCAAACCCATAAGCCATGAGATCGTGACCTGAGCCGAAGTGGGGTGCTTAACTGACTGAACCCTCTCTATCACTTCAAAAACATTACTTTGTTGAGACATTGGGAGTGGGGGGAGGTTTTAGGAAAAGTTTGCTGTGCTACTAACATATCCTTGAGGATTAAGAGTCCTCTTCTACTTGGGAATACCAGCCTCTTGATCAAATGCATAAGCCCTGGGAGATACATAAATTGTCCAAAAAGAGAAAAGGGGCATGTGATGAGCCAGTTAGATTACATACATTTTTGGTGATCACGTGGGTGTGGCAGACACACCCTTAGGTGATCACCAATGAATCACATCCTCCTTATATAATCCCCTTACCTGAATGTGGAAGAAACTTGTGACGTATTTTTAGCCAAAAGAATATGGCAACGGTGATGGGGTGTCATTCCCATAATCACTTGAGATCTACTCAGTGAGACAGAAAACATCCAGTCACTTGGGTATCCCAGGTTTGGGGTAGCAGGCTCTCTATAATCCTGTAGGTCTCAGCTCCAATGCCACCTCCTCAGAAGGGTCTTCCTTAACTCTCCCATCCAAAATAGGTCACCTCCAGGTCACTCTCAATCCCCTCCTTTTGTTTTATTATGTATGTTGCATTTATCACCCTTCTGAACTACTTAGTTGTTTTGGCCACAAATCCCCATCCCCTCCCTCCAAATACAACCTCCAGGAGGGCAGAGCTCTGTTCTCTTCAATGCTGTGTGTACTGTCTGGCACACACTAGGTGTTCAATATGTGTTTCTCCAAACAAACAAACGTGAAGCAGAACAACAAAAAACCAAAAAGCCAGAGCTGCACTGGTGTTATCTGGAGTCAGGGGGCTGGGACCCCTGAGCCCTTAATGGTTTCTAGTCCCCTCTCCACGGTTATTTATGCCACACCTGCATGGCATCATGGGGCTCCACAAACCCAGTAGGGACAACCCTTTCCCTAGTCAGATTAACTAGTGCAGTTGAATCCAGACCACCACCAATTGGAGGATAGTCCATCATTTCACACTCCACCAAGAAAGAAAAAGGCATCGCCAATCGAACTTTGACACTTTGTCAATAAAACACATCTTGGTTTCCAATATTAAAATGTGCTGCTCAGCCTTCAGATCACACCCCAAATATCACTTCCTCAGCACCCCTGCTGGCGAAGCTGGGTCATTTTCCTTCTATACTCTCAGAACTCTCCTTTCTCCAAAACATGCATTTCAGTGTCAGTGAATTGTTTAGCTATTTGTTTACAAACCTATTTCCCCATGAGAATTAAAGCTGAATGAAGGTAGAGATTACATTTGTGTGCTTTGTGTTATCCAATGGCATGATGGAAAACCCGCTCTCTGAAAAAAATTGTAGCATTTGCTAATTTCCATGGTGTAAATCACCTCACCACAGCTGATGTCAAACTATGAATCTATAGGGTAACAACTGGTTTGTAACATTTTCGAACGTTAGTAATTAACCCTTGAGAGATGTGCTAGCATGCTCCAGCACCAAACACGATGTCCATGAAGAATAGACACTCAATAAACAATTGGTTCGTGAATGAATACGTTCATGTTAAATCACATTGCACGAATACGTAGCAAGTCCTTGAAACTTAACACACCTACATGCAGTCTCTATTTTTCCTCCTTCCCCAGTTTTCCTGCTCCTTCCCCAGTGTTCACCCCATTTAGTGCACTGCCATCCATCCATCCCCAGGGCAGAAATCTAGCAGGTTACTGATTTCCCTCTTACCCCCACCTCTCCCCATCACACTCCACATCCACTGTGTCCCTCCCATGCATTTAACACCGGGCCTTGACCAGCATCCTAACCCAGCACACACCATCTCTGCCTAGACTATTCCACAGGCCTCCTCCCTGATCTCCCTGCCTTCACTATTACCTTCCCAAACTCCCCTCCACCCAGAAAACACGGATTCCTGTTTAGAATATGAATCACATCGTGCTATCCCTGTTGCAGCCCTTCACTGCCCTAGGCTCTCCATGTGCGGAACCCTATCCACCTCTCCAGTTTCCTTCCCTGCGCCCTCCCCTGCATCTTTTATCCCAAGCTATGCTGGTGTGTTATCTCAGTTCTTCAAACACGTCAATCCTTTCCCTGCCTCAGGGCCTTTCCACTTGCTCTTTCCTCAGTTCAGAAAACCTTTCCCTACATTGGGGCATTGCTGCTGCTTCATATTTGTCATCTCTTTCAAAAGACCTTTCTAAACCACCTCTGAGTAGCACGGCCCTTCCCATCCCTTATCATACTTGGCTCTGAGACAAGGGGAGTTTCCTCCGGGGAGGACGCAGCCGCCACGCCACAAGGAAGTGCGCCTGTGCGCAAGACTCGGGACTACATTTCCCAGAGTGTTCCGCGCGCGGGGGCCTGGCGCACTTCCGCTTCCGAAGGGGTCAGGCGGTGCGGCGGGGTCGGAGCAGCGCAGGTGCTGAGCCTGTGGCTGTGCGTGTCCGCGTGTGGTGCGCGTGGCGGGTGAGCGAGTGCAGGTCTTTGTGAGCGCACGCGCGTGAGGGCGGATCACAGGTGGGCGGGCGAGTCCCTTTGTGTGTGCGCGCGCGCGCGCGCGAGGGCAGATCACAGGTGTGCGTATGAGTGCAGGTGTGTGTGTGTGTGTGCATGTGCGCGTGAGGCCGGAACACAGGCGGGTGTGCGAATGCAGGTGTGTGTGTGCGCGCGTGCATGTGCGTGCGCGCTGAGTGCGGATCACAGGCAGGCGGGTGAGTGCGTGTGCGTGTGTGTGCACGCGCGTCAGGGTGGATTACGGGCGTGCGAGTGCAGGTGGGTGTGTGTGTGAGAGAGAGAGCACGCGTGAGGGCAGATCACGGGCGGGCGAGTGCAGGTGTGTGTGTGCGCGCATGAAGGCAGATCACAAGCGGGCATGTGAGCGCGTGCACAGCGAGGGTAGAGTGTGGTTTGTCACGTACAGGTTTGCCATGGCTGAGTTGGGGGTTCGTGCGGTGGGGACGTAGTCCTGAGCGATTCTGTGTGGGAGGGACGCACCCCGCCTGTCGGATGTTCGCGTGGACAGGGCTGACACATACCTGCCTGCAGAAGTGGTGTGTGTGTGTGTGTGTGTGTGTGTGTGTGTGTGTGATCGTGCACAAGTGCACGGGGGTCTCTAAACCTGTGGTCACACCCATGTGAGTCCATGCTCATCGCCCTTGTGTCTGAAGTTTTGGGGGCGCTTGTGGAGTTCTACTCGTGGGTGGTGAATGGGACGGACCTTCCATTCCCGTGGGGAACACAGGCCAGGGACAGCCGTAAAACAACGCTGTCACTCATGAGTGCTCTGAAGAAACCACCAGAGGGCACAGGGCACAGCGACTTAGGGCTGGGCCACTGGGGCAGTTAGAGACCCCCTCCAGGAGGGCCGTCTGGGCTCAGCCCTGAGGGATGATCATATGCTGGAGGAGAAGCTGGAGGAAGAAGGTTCTAGGCAGGGGGAAGGGCAAGGACAGAGGCCCTGTGGCAGGAATGAGGTCGGGATGCTGGAGGAACGGGAGGACCACCGCTGGCCAACACAGGTTAGGAGGCCAGACCAAAGCCAAGAGGCGGAGGACGCACCGCGCTTAGTGAGAGGCCACAGCGGATAGGTGGCCAAGGGTGTGGCTACAGGGAAGGTGAAGAACCCAGGGCCAGTAACACCATCTGCATTCACTAGCTCATGGTATGCCTGCCACGTCCTACAGGTACATCCCATTCCTATCCCCATTTCCCAGACAAGGACACTGAATCTCAGAGAGAGGTCATATAGCTAGTGGGTCACAGATGGCATTCAAACCCAGAACCCTGGTTCCACACTTCAAGTGCTCAGCTTGGATCAGGCTGCAGGGAACAGTGGCCATTTACCAATTCCTCCAACCCCAGAAAGGGAGGTGGCCCTTCTGGGTCCCAGAGGAGGGGCTGGCAGCATGGCCCACCAGGGCCCCGTCACTCACCGCTCTTTCCTTCTCCACCAGTAGAGGGTCTCTGAAGAGCAGGGCATGGTTCTGGGCTTGTGACTGCGATGCCCCTGGTAAACCGGTTGATGTTCTGGGCTTATGACTGCAAGGCCCCTGGTAAGCCGGCTGTCTCTGGTCTTCCCTGGAAGGGTCCCTAGGATCTGAAAGACAGGACGTGGCTGTGAGTTGGACACAGAGCACACCCGGCCCAGGCAGCAGTGTGCCGGTGGGTGCGATCCGTTAGCGGATATCCACGGCCTCCTGTGTGCCGGGCGTTCTCGGCCACTGGGATGCAATTCTGATGCAGACTAACGAGGCCCCTGCTTGTGTGGAGACCAGGAATGACGGAGACATTAAAGAAACCCGCAGGCGTGGTCATTCAGCTGGTCACAAGCGCTGTGCAGAAAGTAAGGCCGCGGTGGATCAAGCAGAGTCCAAGGGCAGCATTCATACTAGCAACACGAGGCCAGTGTTGGGGGACAGCCTTAGCTGGGCTGAGTAGGGGCACCCTCTTTGGCTGCAGGGTCTTCCCATGTGCCACAGTGCCCACCCTCCCTGTTTGTTGGTCCCCAGCAACTGAATCCCATTTCTGTTGTGGGCAGAGAATTACTTCCATCAGAAAAGGGGGAAATGGAAACAAGACGAAGAAGGGCAATGTGTTTCAAGAAAAACAGAAGCCAGCATTCAGGCTGCCCGCTTCACTTACTCCCTTGCCAGCCCCCCTGGACACTGAGTCTGAGATCCTCAGAGGTGGGGAGGTTGGGGTCCTACAGTGTCAAACTGGAAAACAACCCATCTACGGGGGCCAGTGTGACCTGGCTCCAGCCTGTCATCACTGCAGGAATCCAGGATTTGCAGCTTGAGGGCCCCTCGTTTTTCAAGACCCTCATCATTTGGGTTTTTGTATGAACGTCCGCAGTTTAAAGTATCGGCGGTGGACCCATCTGCCGGTAGCCATGTGGCACACACCTCACCTCCCTCAGGTCTCTGTCCAGTCACCTTCCTGTATCTCTCCTGACCACGCTGGCTGGCACCTAATCTCCCATCAGTCTCGTCCCTGCCTGCCTGTTTTCCTCTAGTACCTGGCACCGTGTGACGTGCTCTGTGTTTTGCTGGTCTGTCTGTTGTCTGGCCTGACTAGAATGTGGGATTTGCAAGGGCAGGGTTTTGGTCTGTATCCCTGGTGCCTAGAACGGTGCCTGGTGTAAGTCGACCCCAGTAAATCTTTGTCACAGTGAGTGCATTGCAGTTTCCTGTAGAGCCCCATAGGAAGGCCAGGTTCCACGAGTCTGTGAGCTCTTCTGGCTCTTGGACCGCCACATGCAGCCTCAGCCATGCTGTGAGGAGTCCTGAACTTTTCTCTTTTGACTCCCCTCCCAACCCCAGACTCCCTTTCCCTGTGACCATGTGAAGGGCTAGTCATTCCAGGAGCTGATTGCTCTCCAGGATGCAGCAGTAGACTTCTCCCAGGAGGGGCGGGGGCAGCTGAGTCCCGGCCAGAGGCCCTGTACTGGGACATCATGCTGGAGAACTACAGGAACCTGGTCTCACTGGGTAAGGGCAGTGATTTTTCAGTGACCTCAGACCCCACCTCACTGCATAGAAGCCAAGGGGCATCGGGAATGTCAGCACTATGTTGGGATGGGGTTCAGCCACTCAGTGCCTCTGTTCGTGGTCTTTCCACCCTGTTTCTCCTGAAGTGCCCACCTCTCTGGATGAACATAATGGAAAAGCTAAGGGTGACAGGCTTCTGGCATGGCTGGATCTAGGAGCTCAAGTGTCACTTTCTGGTCTTAGTTTTCTTGGTCCTCCATAGGCTCCCACTGTCTGTTTCTCAGTTATGTTTTCTCCTCTCTTAGCTCCACTACCACTTCTGGCCCCTTCCGCTTCTGGCAGCAGTAGGCTTTAATGACGCTCAGTGGTCCCAGCAGGGTGGGCGCCTCTCTTTCCCAGAAGTTCTAGCAGAAGCTGCAGACCTGAGTGCCATCAGACCATGTCTGTTTCCTCTCTTTTTTTTTAATGTTTGTTTATTTATTTTGAAAGAGTATGAGCTGGGAGGGGCAGAGAGAGCCAGGGGAAGAGAGAATCCCAAGCAGGCTCCACACTGTCAGCAGAGAGCCTGACACGGGGCTCAATCTCATGAACCGTGAGATCGTGACCTGAGCTGCAACCAACAGTCGGAGGCTTAACTGACTGAGCCACCCAGGCACCCCTGATTTCTTTCTGAAGCCAATGGCTGAGGCCAAGAGATCGGGCTTTGTAATTGGCCGCACTTGGGTTACCCAGTACTGGTAGCCGACACCTGCTGAGCACTTGTGTGCCGGTGTGTAGGGGAAGGCAAGAGGACAGGCTAGATGGGGCTGGCAGGGCCAACAAGGGCCCAATAGTCAGAGTCCCCTTGAGGGGTGCCCGCAGGGAACACACTGTGGACATCTCAGCTTGGTCTAAAGCCCTGTTTCCGTCTCTGGCTCTCTTTGTCCCTGTGGTAGGGCTGACGGCCCCTGTGTCAGTTCCTCAAACTTGTTTCTACCACACCCTGATGAAAGGTACATTTTACTCCCCAGCTCACTGCACATACTATGTCCGCATCTGATACGACTGAAACGAAAATTTCACAAAATGATACTTACTTACCCTTATTATACACGACAGGCTGTTGTTCCATTCTGTTTCATTTTTTAAAACCTCACGTCACAGCCCACTACAGCAGCGGTCGAACCAGGAGAAGTTCTGCCCTGAGGTGGAGTGTAGCGGTGTCTGAAGATAGTTTTGGTTGTCACAGCTGAGAGGGTGCCGTCGGTGCCTCGTGGAAGTGGCCGGGGATGAGGCTTCACATCCTACGATGCCCAGGACGGTCCCCACACAGAGAACTACGTGACCCAAGATGCCAGCAGTGCCAGAGTTGGAAATGTGACTCAGCAAAGAACAGCAGCTGCCTGAAACCGCGTGTTCATGTGATCCAGCACCGCTGAGACCCGGCTGCGAGGTAGTGTGGGCTCACTGCAGCCCACGCGGACTCCTGAGACCCCCAGATCCTGTCCCGCCCTTTCCAAGTTCTCCTTTTCCCAGACGACACGTTCCATTCCTCTGTGGGTCAGTCCTGCTTTACCATATTATAATCTGTGCACGCTTCCCCTGTTCCCAGCCTGGACCCTGACGTCCAGCCTCACCGGAGAGCCGCTGCCTCAGAGTTCTCCAAAGACACAGAACCAATAAGCTGTGTGTGGAGTGATTTATTTTACGAAATGTCTCATGCACTTCTGGGGCTGCCCAGCAGGCTGGAAACTCAGGCAGGGGCTGATGCTGCAGTCTTCAAGCAGAATTTCCTCTTGAAGAATCCTCAGCTTTTACTCTTAAGGTCTTCAACTGATTGGATGAAGTCCACTGACATTATCATGGATGATTTCCTCTACCTAAAGTGATTGTAAGTGCTAGCTACATCTATAAACTAGCTTCCTAGCAACACTCGGATTCATATTTGACTGAAATCACTCGGGACTGACAAATAAGACTAACCATCACAACTGGTAATGGAGCAGCCACCTTGGTTTCAGTGTCTTGTCTCACATCTTACAGGCGTTTGCAGTTTTGAAAACTGTCTTTCAGACCGGGACACCGGGCCTGACAACAGGGACAGCTTCAAAGAAGAACGTCTCTGGAAAGTCCCCAAAACAAAGGACCTGGGGACCTGAACTTCATAAAGACCTGCAGAGAGGACAGCCTCCCCAAGAGGCTGGTCCTGGTGACATCTCTCAGCATCTTCACAGAGAAGAAAGGCCGTGGATGTCCTGAATGTGGGAGAGCCTTCAGCTCCAAGCCCTTCCTCACATAACACGGAAGATCCACACTGAGGAGAGACCCCATGCATGCAGCCAGAGGGCAGGCCTTATTCACCATCAGAGAGTTCATGCTGGTGAGAAACCCCGTCACTGTAATGAGTGTGGGGAGGCCTTTAGTGACCAGTCATCACTCTCCAGCCAACACGGAGGATCCACATTGGGGAGAGACCCCATGCATGCAGCCAAAGGGCAGGCCTTACTCTCCATCAGAGAGTTCACGCTGGCGAGAAACCCTATCACTGTAATGAGTGTGGGGAGGTCTTTAGTGACCAGGCACTCTCCAGCCAACACGGAGGATCCACACTGGGAGAGACCTTACAGATGCAGTGAATGTGGAAAGGCCTTTAGCTGGGCTTCATCCCTTAATCTCCATCAGAGAACTCATACAGGCGAGAACCCCTACAAGTACCCTGACTGTGGGAAACCCTTCTGGTAAAGGTCCTTCCTCACTAAGCACCAGAAAACCCATTTGTAGGAAAACCTACAAATGCAGTAACTGTGAAAAGACTTTCAGCTACAGCAACTCCCTCAGCCTCCGCCAGAGAACTCACACTGGGGAGAACCCCTACATGTGTGAGCAGTGCGGGGACACCAGAGGGAGAGCCCCTACACATGAGCAGTGTGGGGACACCTTCAGTACTGCTCCTCCCTGACCAAGCACCAGCACACCCACAGCATCAAGACACCCAAGAGTGTAAGGAGTGTCTGAGAGCCTTTAGCCATGTTTCACCCCTTAAAGTACATCAGAGGATCCATACCAGAGAGAAACCCTGCACGTACAGTGAGGGTGAGGAAACACCTCTGTGGCAACTAACTCCCAGCAGTTCTTACTAAGACTTACCACCCACACGAAACTTCAGAGCTCATTCATCGTATCACATATTAGTCTTGGGGAAATGCCTTGGGGTTCCCAAGACCACCCCCCAGTTTGGTGACTCAGTAAGAGGACTCAACTCAGCACATAATCATACTCGTGGCTACGAGTTACCATAGCAAAAGGATACAAAGTAAAACCAGCAAAGGGAGAAGGTGCATGGGGTGAAGTCCACAGGGAACCAGGCACAGGCTTCCAGAAGTCCTCTCACAGAACACATGTATTTCCTCTAGCAAGTTGTAACAACACTGCTCCCCCATCTCCTTCTCTAGCATTTAAGCTATTTCCTGACCTCAAGCCCTTTGCTCATGCTGTTCCCTCTGCCCAGAACCCTCTCTTCCCCAGTGTTCCATGGCTGATTTCTCATAAGTCCACCTCTTCAGAAACCTTTCTTCAGACTGGTCTAAAACTAGCCCTCCCAACTGGCACTCCCTCTGCCTTCTTACCT